CCCTCACGCCCTGACAGAGGCTTTGGATCAGTGGGTCGATAGCCACAGCCGGCTGGGGTTGCCCAGATATTGTACACTCGCCGCGGGGGGCTGATGCTTGGGCGCCTCTGCTGAGAGGCACAAGGAACTCCCCTGCCGAACTGTGCCTCAGTTTCACCCTCTGCAGATAGGCTCTGGGCAATGCTGGGGATGCCAAAGAGCAGGCTGATCCTCAAAGAGCTCCTGGCCCCTCCGAGGGCCCCATGGAGGGAACTCAGAGCAGCTAAATTTGCCTTGGGTGGAGATGCCCACCCTGGTCCCTGGGGGCGTTGCCCCTGGGGACCCTCAGGTTGCCCAGTGCCCCTGCATGCCCCCTGCTCTGGCCTCCAGATGCTGAGAAGACCCCGGGCTACTGGAACAAAGGGGCCAGGAGGAGACTGGAGTTGGCCCTGGCGTTGCAGCCGGTGGCACAGCGGGCAAAAAACATCATCCTCTTCATGGGTGACGGTGAGTCCCCCGGGTCCCAGCCAGGCCCTGCGGCCCTATGGCTCCACAGCAGCCAGGGGACGTGGCTGGTGACAAGATGGGGCTGGTGCAGGTCCCCTCCTCCCCAGCCAGCGCTGGGCAATGCCTGGGGAGGGCAGGACTCTCCCTGATCCCAACCCTTTACCACCCCACGACTCTGCCGTGCCCGCAGGCATGGGGCTGCCCACCATGTCGGCGCAGCTCGGATCTACAAGGGGCAGCTGGCCGGCGGCTCGGGCGAGGAGAGCATCTTGGCCATGGAGACCTTTCCCCACATGGCCCTGGCCAAGGTGAGTGGGGCAGCACCGGAGGGGTGACCCTGCTGCCCCTGCCCAAAACCCCTCTGACCCCTGTTTGCTTCCAGACGTACACCATCGACCGGCAGGTGCCTGACAGCGCTGGCACGGGCACAGCCTACCTCTGTGGGGTGAAGACCAACGCCAAGACGCTGGGGCTGAGCGGGGCAGCCGTCTACGGCAAATGCCGCACCACCTTTGGCAATGAGGTGGACTCCATCCTGCACCGGGCCAGGCTGGCAGGTACGGGGCAGTGGGCAACCCTGTCAGAGAGCCTGGCATGGCATGGCCATCCCATACCATGTAGGGCTGGACGGGGTCCCTGTAAACCCTCGCCTACGCTGCAGGCAAGTCGGTGGGCATCGTGACGACCACGCGGGTGCAGCATGCATCTCCTGGGGCAGCCTATGCCCACTCGGCCAGCCGGAGCTGGTACGCCGATGCCAACATGCCCAAGGAGGCATTGCAGGATGGCTGCCAGGACATCGCCTACCAGCTGGCGACACACACT